AACATCAAGCTTTGGCATGTTTATCCATAATATATGTAATGTCAGGTGTTTCGGAGTGCTCGGACTTTGTTTCAATAGCATGGTTTTAAGCGTCAGGGCTTTGCGGTTTCAGGTTTCAGAGTTTCGGTTCAGTTCTCACATTACCTGCGAGAGTTCTGGTTTCAGTGCCGTTCCCGACAATTGTGGCAAGAAAAGTTGGCTGTGACCAGATGCATGCGTCAGGTGTAGTGTCGAAAGTCAACGTTGGAGTTCAGAATGAAGGTTGACTTGTTGACATGCCTTTACAGATAAGGCGGGTCCAGCCTAAAAGGTTGAGGTAACTAACATGAAACAGTGATTCCTCAACCAAAACCAAACAAGCCGAGAACTCGTGCGAGTTTTAGCCTAAATCCTTCACAGAAGCTGCTAGGTCGCAGCCGCCCCCCGGGCCACGGGGGGATGTGAAAGGCCCAGAATATTGAACCTTGCGCAGGGCCGGTGGGAGAATCTTTCGAATTCACTGTGGGGTGGGGGTGTTTTGCAGTGTTCTGCGGAGTTATGGAAAGAGTCAGCTCGAAGTTTGCGACTTTCGGTGTGTTTGGCGTTCAAAATCGGATTGGTATCTGGCTTCAGGGTTTCGAGGCTTAATCTGCAGGTTCCTGCGAACTCTGCTGTTTGGTTGAGGTCTGTCAAAAATCGAGGTTGGATGGTTGGCGTTTCGAAGCAAAGCTGCAACTTTTTCGACGCAAAGCCGGATCCCTTTCTTAATGGCCTTGGCGTGGACACACTGTCCGAGACTTATTAGACTCGAGCAGAATGGGCTAGATTACCAAAGGCCTCATAACAAGAGTCCTGACCGTCATAACCTTGGACAAAGGTCAAACAGTCGGAAAACGGCATCAGTATAAGCACCAGCCCACCTCCCACCAAAAGGACCAGCCCAACAATCATGTCGGTCTACGATTGTCAGGCATAGATGTGCTGCGTCATCCGGAGGCTGGTTGGCCAGCCATGCTTGAAACCTGAATCCATAGCATAGGATGCCATAAGATCATAGTGGAAGTGAAATCCCGAAGGTTCCTTGAAGCATTTTCGTTCTGGGGCCTGGGAATGTCCGGCCCCGCAGCCGGCAGCCGAAATCCCGAATTCCTCAGGGAAGTTCTCGACTCTTTAAAATGTTGGATCCGGGGGGGGCGCGGGTGCCGGAGGGGGCCTTGTAGGTTTCTTGCGATATTATTTTCCTTCTCCTCTGTGTGTGTCTCTGTTTCTACCACTATGTGCCAGATGTGCGTGCGCGAGAGAGTGTGTGCGTGTGTGTGTGTGTGCGTGTGCGTGTGCGTGTGCGTGTGCGTGTGTGTGTGAAAACACAGGCGCGCAGGATACACAACAGAGAATGTTACCATGGCATTCGTGCTATATTGTGTTCTTTCTGCCTCATGGATTTGGTCCCCGGTGGGGCAAGGGAAACACGCGCCCGGTCCGGGGCCAGGGTTCAGGGCATCAAGGGCTTTGGGGTTTATGTTGGATGCAGGCCTCAGGGTCTAAGGGCCTGTCGGGCAAGCTGAGGAAAACTTCGAAGAGCTGAAGAGAAGTGTTGCTATTAGTCGAGATTTGGAACCCCTCCAACTCCAGATGCTGCAGACCCAATCTGAACGAAGCATAGCGTGAACAAAAATCCTACACCGGGAGCCGCGTACAGGCTTTAGAGCACTGCCACAGAACCTGAAATCCTGTAAGCCGCGAAGCCTCGACGTGACGTGAGCCGAGCAAAACAGGCAGAGTTCCACGAGGCGCTTCGGGCAGCACGACACCACGTTGACGAGCTGCAAGCTCGACTAAGGCAGATGGAGGCACAGCACCTGGGCACAGAACAAAACAGTTCAAAGCTGACAGGTTCACAGGCGTTCGTCTTTTGCAAGCGATGATGGACATGAACATGAGGCGATTGACAGCGAGCGTTTGTAGCCAGTTCGATGCAGCCGGCAGTGTCTAGGGTCTAGGGATCGAGTGATGCGGATCATCTTTGTCTGTCGCAGAAACACAAGGCTTTCACACTCACTGGCGTTCATGCGGCGTCGTCTTCGAGTTGTACGACGTTCTAGATCCATGCTCACCAAGAGAGTTTCAGATTTAACTTCTTCTGGGCATGAGGTGTGAAGGCCCGATCTCTTGGGCCAGGCACCTTACGAAGATCTCTGGCGAAAGCCATGGGCAGCTAGAGCCTTCCTCCGGAATTTCTGTCATTCCCGTGCTGATTAACAGATGCAACAGCTGTTTGCCACTGCCCTGTCAGCAGAAGCATAGCAAGGGTATTTTTTGATCGCGAACGTTACACTCATACCGGAAGGGAGAAATTAGTTTCCGAGAGTCACATCGATGCACAGCTTCGAGCAGAAAGCCCAAGTGACGACACAAGAACTTTAAGCCTACCTTTAAAATTCAACAGCAGTCGGCAGGAAATCATACGGAAATAGCTGACATTGCCAAACACGAGTACCAGGAAATGAAAACCTCCGTGCTCCTTTTTTGATTTTTCGTTTTTCTCGTTGTGATCACTACTAGTGAATGAAGGGGCTTATCCCAAGCCAGACGTGCTTTTGGGCTTGTCCTTCCGAGCATCACTAGTAGGGGCCTTACCGAGCATGACGAGCTGCCCTCGAAGGCGAGGCCTTCAGCACTCGCAAATTTTCCTAGAATCTCCTGAAGGGCAAGAAGAATAATGCATCTTGAGCCCAATGTGAAGAGCATGATGCGAGCCCTAACCACAGAACCGTTGGAAACTTCGAAGTCTCGACGATTCGTGATTCCTGAACCTGAAAACCTAGAACCCCGAAGCTCCGGCAGTCGAGAAAACCAGTGCTTGGATTGCTGGCCCTCCAAACGAGGACGATCGTTCCTCAAAGTCGAACCGAATCCAAGAAATTTGCAAAGCCGCCCTAATTCATCGACTTTGAATTTGCAGAACAGTTGAAGGCATTGTATTCCCCTGTGCAAACCTTCCAAAAGAGGACCCCAAGCCCAAGCTCCAACCTTCAACTTTCGCACCCTGCGAAGCCCGAGCCCTGGCCAATTCCTTCAACCAGAACCACCAGCAAAGGCAAGATGCTTTCCTCACGGAGCGACGGGATGCAAAGGTGGGGCAGAAATGGCTTAGGGTTAGGGCTTTAGCAATTGCAGGCTGGGCTGTAATTCATGGCTGCAGGAGCACTCCCACGCACAGTCCCTGGAGCTTAAGCCAATAGCCACAACCTGGAGCTGGGACCCGTGTGCGGCCGGGGGGGGGCTGGGGGCAGGCTCCGGGCATAGGTCCGAGGCTTGGGTCCTGCTAGGCTCAGGAGAAGGATCTGCTATCACATAAGACGAAACCAGGTGGAGGGTAGATTCGAGTGCAGTTTTTTCTTCATGTTCCGGTTAAGAAAAGACTCAGCGATTTGGGGACAGCATGGCGCTTGGCCGTAGTAGCTGTTTCAAGCGCTTTGCAATCTGCATGATGCAGGGTCCTAGGGGTTGGGATGCAGGGTCTTGATGACTTGGAGGTCTAGGGTCTCGGATTCACGGATTCCAGAACCGAAACCCTACAACTATGCAGCTTCAACGCCGCATAACCCCAACATCCTGAAGCCCCCAGCTCTTAAGACTTCAATTCGTGAACTAAACTATGACGCCCTAAACACTACAGACCCCAGAGCCCGAGACACGGAAAGCCCTAAAGCCCGAAAGCCCCAGCCCAACTAGCACCTGTAAACCCTCATGTTCAACAGCTTACGATCTAAAGCCTTACGGGCCCTAAACTCCCTAAACATCAAAATCTTTAGAAGCTGTGAGCTCAAAGGCCCAAACCCAAACCCCAAAGTCCTGAACGCCCTTACAAGAACCGTATCAGCAAGCCGTGAAAGGAGCCGTTGTAGCTACCCTAGCCTAAAAGACTCTAAAACCTCCGAAGAGGCTGTGGGCATTTTGGAGCTGCCGGAGGTAACCTTCGCTCCCACGGCTTGCACGCCTGACGAGGCACAGCTGCTTTGCGGACAATGTGAAGTTTGGTGGGTTGGACTTGGACATTGGAGTTTTTGAGGCTTCCGGGTCAGCCTGTTGCGGAACCTCCGCATGATGATCGCATGTCACTGATTGTTGGACCGCACCTCTGCGTGAAAACAACCGGTGTAGGGATGCTGGCCATTTACATGTCTTGCCTTGCTTGACACGAGGCCTAAGGCCCAGAATCTGAAAGCTCAAAGCCTGGACACCGGGAAGCCTGCAAAGCATTTCCCATTCCATACACCCTACTGTAGGCTTCCGCTTTAAACCCAGTTTTCGAGCTCTTACACCAAGAGTCCAACTTCTTCATCAGCCCGAAACTCTTAGCCACAGCTCTGAAAAGCTCTGGCCTGTTCTTGGGTTTCAGGGTTGTTTCGCGGTTATAGCATGTTTGTGTCTTTTGTCACGGGCGCAAGTCTTTCCCACCTAACTTCCGCAGCTGCCACAACCCAATACGAGAACCCGAAACCGAACACCCTGAACTTCCTAAACTGTGAAACCTCATTTCATTACTATGACTAGTCCTGCCGGAATTCCCGACTAAAACTATCTTTTGCCAGAAAGGAGGCCTCCGTGACGAATGAGCCAGCGGAGGCGGAGACTTCCGTCATCACATCGAAGAGGCAGCCCAGCCTTAGGACAGAAGCTCCAAGAGGGGTTTAGAGTGGTTCGGAGGACTTCCAGGGGTCTTGTGGTGCACATGAGGCTTGTTCTTGGCCCAAGAGCCCTGCGCCTTCATCCGACTTTCAGATTCTGGTTCTGCCGGCGACATTTGGGTCGAGATTTTGTGGGAATCTTTTGCAACTTAGAGGTTTCAGGGGATACAGACCAAGAGATTTCGTGTCCTGACAGCATCCCATCCTCATGGAAGTGCATGGGGTGCAGATCTTGCTTGTGTTGCGCAGATCTCGCTTGTTTTGCACGACTGTTGGCTGAGCAGGTCTGCAGCTGTTTAAAAAAACCCAGAGTTTTCGCTGCTAGCAGACATGGCCACGGTCGATCGAAAGGAGATCGGCTCGGTGCCGTTGAAGACGGTACTTCGCCAGTTTCCTATCGAACAGTCTGAGTCGTGCTTGCGGCCGCACTTGAATCCTATGTGGGTGAGTAATTACGGCCTCTGTGCAAAGGGCTAACCGTAAGGCGCCCAAGCTTCCAAGGTCGTCCTCCGACGGCCAGCTAGCCTCGGCATCCGACTCCGAGGTCAGCACCGATGCCTCTCCGAGTGCCGATTATACAGCCGTGAAGACTCTTGCCTGGGCTAGCAGGACGGTTTTGTTTCCCTAGCTAGGTTCGGGGCTTTGTTCTTTGTTGAGTAGGATGTCGGCAGCACACAGCCAAGGAATGCGGATGCCTACTTCGTCTTCGGCTCCGGCATGATCCGATCCGGCAGCGAGGTCCAGAAAATCCAGCTTCCTCCTGGTCTCGACCTCCCAATCCCAGCAAAGCCCAGGCCCATTCTGGGCACCTATCCCAATTTGGCCGAGATGCCCCGCGCGTCTCCAGTGGCTTCTATGGGTCCCATGTCTCCCATGGCTCCCATGACTCCGATGGTTCCCGCAGCTGCCGTACCTCCCATTGCTCCCGACCATGCCCCTGTGGGCCCGACCTTGATGTCCCCAACCGCTGCCCAGATGGATGCAATGCAGAATCTATGGCTTGCACTATGCAGAGCTAACCTTAAGACATCTAAGGCTCTAAAGCGCCAAGACCTAAGATTCTAAGACTAAGACCCTAAGCCCTAAGCCCTGAGCCCTTCCCTTGACTGGAAGTCGAAGGAAGCGTCTGAACCAGCAGATCGTCGAAGCCGCCAAGGTCCCGAAAGCCGAGGCCGGAGCAAAGCTCCTGGCTCTGGCAGAGGAGCGGAGCTTTTCTTTGGTTTGGGTTTTTTGTGTTTGCCCATTACCCTTTTCTTTCATAGTCTGTTTTGCTATCGTCCGTTGGAAATGCTGCTTTTTGATCTACTATTTGGAGTTTTGACTTTCTTCTTGTACCGGCTTTGTGGCTTCGTAGTTGTGAGTCTTTAGATATATGCTGTGTTTTAAAGTTTGGTTCTAGTCGGTTCTAGTCGTTAGTTTCTGAGGTTAGTTTAGTTTGGTGGATGCCAGTCTTACGTTATTCGTTCCATTATTAATGCTTGTGTTTTTTGGGGTCTGGGGGCTTGGGGAGTTTTAGGGGTGCCGGGGTTGGGGTTTAGGGCGTTTAAGCGTTGTTTTGACAAGGGGGTTTAGGGGTCAGGTGTGTGATATAAGTGGGTTTGGGGTTTATGGTCTGGGGATCGGGGTTTCAGGCTGTCGAACCTGTGGCATTGTCATGTTGTGGCCAGGGCTACTGTCTGGTTTACTGAAGGCCTTCCGAACCAAGGGTTTCACGTAATCATACAATAAGTGTGCGAGGAAGAATCATCTGAACCCTTTGAGGCTCCAATATTTGGTCAGTTCGGGGTCATTGTTCACATGTCGTTCCGTTCATGTCATAATGTGTTCTCAACGGGACACTTGCGAATGGAATGGCAAAGGGGGAGATGGATGCAGGAAAACATCGACAAAATGAATGCTGTGAACCTCTCCACGGCTTTGCACCGGCTTGCGCGTGCTTGGACCAACAAGCAGGGGAAGGGGCAGAAGTCCTTAGCACGCCATCCCGTCGTTTCAAGGATGGTGGATTTGGCTGAGAACTTCGCAGAGCGTGAGCTGCAAAATCGTGACAACAGCATGCCAGCAAACTGTTGCACCATCATTGCCTGGTCCTGCTCCTCCTTGTCGTTCTTCCGCAGCTCTCTTTTCGCTGTGTTGGTCAAGGCTGGGACTTCCATAACTTGTTGGCTGGGTTGAGGCCTCACGGTTTTCAGGTTCAAATCAGGCGTTCCTACGTAGTGCTTGTTTCTGTCGCCCGGCAAATTGCAAGGTGGCTTCGCGAGGTGTGGAGGAATGCCAAAGCTTTGAGATCACCAACTTGATGTGGGCACTTGCGGAGCTGTGCCGACGTCGACCGCAAATGGGTAAGGAGCTTTCACTCAGCATCCAGGAGCTGGTGTTGGCCACGGCACCCGTGTTTATGAAGTGGCAGCTGCCATGACTTGCGTGGGAGTCATTTTCTATGTTGTGTGAAAGGTCCCTTCATTCTGGCTCACTGTATCCAAGATCTTTAAATCAAAATCAGTCTGAGGCTACACACATTGAATGTGAGGGTGTTGACTTCCGCGCTGATGTCCCTAGCCTTCTTCCCACCCATGGACTTGCTGGCGCATGGAGTGCTCATTGCCAAGATCGTCCTTGAGCTTGCCGTCCGTGACGAGGAGTTGGCTTCCGAAAATCAAGTTGTCGTCGCAGCATTCCAGACGTTGTCCAGGAACCATTCGTCCGTATATCGGGATGTGCTTCGCTTATGCCAGCAGACCTTCCCACAGTCTGCGGCCCACCGTCTGATGAAGTCGAGGCCCTCGAACAAGACTCGGAAGTGAGGCGAAAGTTGACCTGTTGGGTCTCTTGTGCCATAGTCCCATCAAATTTCCCATAGAACTTTCAGATATCTCAGAGGTAGGCTGTGCTCATGCATTTCCGCAGGTTCCCCGTCTGAAATACAGCGAAAAACCGGCGCACTCGTTTTACCCGTAGTGGTCGAGCTGCTGCCAGCGCTGTGTCAGTTTGGCCTGTGGTGTGCAATTATGCAGGCTTCTCGGTCCTTGCAACTTTTTTCGCAATGCAACTGTCGAAAACGTGCTGGGAATGAGCGTGGGTTGCAGCTGCCTGCTGAATTTGTTTGGTGCTCTGTGGAATGGGGGCACCAGACGGCTTGAAGGTTTTGTGGGATGAACTTGAAAGTCTTGAGACGTAGCCTGTTGCTTCATTCTAAGCGAAATGTGGTACCAGTGTTGGGACTAGTGCCAGTACTACCACTACCCCAGTCGTAGAACTACGAGGACAATGATTGTTATCAAGTTATCACTGTTTTTTTATGGAGACTGCCATTTTTGCTGATGACATCATTATTGCTACTACTACTACTACTACTACTCCTCCTGCTGCTGCTGGTACTATATACTTATATACTACTACTACTACTACTACTACTACTACTACTACTACTACTACTACTACTACTACTACTACTACTACTACTACTACTGCGAATACTGCTACTACTATTACTACTACTACTACTACTACTACTACTACTACTGCTACTGCGCGTAGCGCATACATGTGGATGGAGAGCACCGGGGCAGGGGGGAGGCAGGATAATAGATAGTCTTTGACGGGAAACCAAAGAAGTCCAGTGAGGAGGCGGGGTCTGTAGGGGGGAGGGGGCAGTATCAGACGGGCCGAGGCATCAGACGCGCTGAGGTAATGTTGGAATAAATACCCCCTCCCCACCCCCCGCGCGAGGCTGTTTTGTGCGCGGGGGTCTCTTGGGACAACCACTAATTACGACTGCTGCTACGATAAATACTTGTTTCTGCATCCCCGGGTGGACGAAGTTCTCGAGAGACCAGTTACAATCTCGAACACCGTAGGCAAAACACGTTTGTACAAACGTTATACATCAACAGCTGCTTGCTCAGAGTTTCTTTCTGTGGTTGGGTGTGGATCTTCTCAGGTTAATGAAAAATCCCGGAGTTGTCAACTTAGTTGTGCAAGGTTTGGAAGGTTCTTGAACCACAGCATGCAGGGTGGACCGTTCACGCCGGCGGTCCGGCGGCATAGCCAAAGACGAAGAACTCAGGATGATCCGGAAGAGGCCAGCGCAGTGCAGGTGTTGATTCCGAGGGGCACAACCGGTACATAGATTGTAGGATGCGAGGTTTTTAGATGGCCAGCCTTTTCAAACCTCGTCTAGAAGGCAAGACGTCGAGTGTTTCGAGTATGGGCTGGTTGCGGTGAGTGAGTTTGTGGTTGTGGGTCCCGCAGGTCTTATTTGAGACTGCGCAGTCTGTATCCTACGCCACAAAATCCTATTCGCCCCGACATCCTTTCCGTTCCTCGATGCCTAATCCCGTAGCACGGGACGGTACAGTCTCCCGAGGGTCTAGATGGTCTAGGCAGTGAGAATCAGCGCCTCTTCAACCCGACACTTCACAAGTGCCACACATCTTCGACTCGTCTGTGCGTGGCTTGTGGCTGTTTCAAAGTGTCGAGGCTTCACCCTAGCTCGTTATCTTAACTCTACTTCCATGCCGAAACCTGAACTTTTCTGCGAAAGCACACGAGGCTCGCGGAGTACGATGAACGGGCTTCGAGTGTCTTGGGCGGGCGGCTGAATCTTTCATGTGACAAGGCAGGGAGCTTGGCCGTTTAGAAGCGTCCGGTCGTCTAGAGTTCAAGCTTCTTGGCGTTTGTGCCGAATGCGAGGGGATGTGGGCAGAAAAGTTTCTGGTTTGGGAGTGTTGCGGATTTCGAGTTTGGGGTCCCGTTGTGTGATAACCACACACCACGAAACCTTTGAAGTTTTGCAGACGTGCATCAAGTAATTCCACAAGCCTCACACGGGAGAAAGACTGTGCATCAGAAGCATGTGTCTTCTGATACAAATCTTAAACAAGAGCTGAATGGAAAGATCTTCTGAGGACATCTACACATATTAAGAAGACTTGCTACCTATAAACCAAACTCTCAACTCCAGGCGGCTTGCATTTAACCCAGACCGTCAGCTCGCGCTCTCTTGTGTGAGCTGAGGGTGACGAGGTTGTTACGCAGCCTCACTCTTAACCCTGAGTCAGTCGCGGTAGTTGTGCCAGCAGCAGAAGGTAGGAGTCGGAGTATCAAAGCGAGAGAGACTGGGGAGGCGAAAAGGTAGTACTACGGGTGTACCAGTCGTACTAGTGGTAATATTATGTAAGTACTCGTAGGAGTGGCAACAATAGTGGTGGTATTAGTGGTTGTAGTGGTAGGAGCAGCCGCAGCAGCAGTAGTGGTACAGCTCCCACTGATGCTGTCGTGGTGTTGAGAACTATCTGGAGGAGTTGTCGCTTGGTTGCTTGGTGACCTCGCCTTTCTTTGATGCATTGGCAGACACTTGGATGCCACAAGCCAGGTCAGGAGTATTACCGGCGCCGGTAACATAAGTCCTTGGCCGTGAGCTTCGAAGCACAATCTAAACTCAAAATGTGGCCGAATCCGGGCCCAAACGAGATGAAATCCAAGGCCAACCGTACAGGCCTTGATCCCTAAACTGTAAATCGAAGGTTTCACCATGTTACGCCCAAAGCCAAACTCCAAGCTGTGGACCGGAAGTCTGAGACGCGCGAGAGCTTGTGAATTTCAGCCTTGGGATTTCGGGTTTAGGGCTTTAGGCCTACTGTCAGTGCTTTTGCTGCTGTTTTCCGTACTGGTGGTCTGTTTAATGAGTTAATGGCAACAGCAACAGCAGCTGCCGCGGCTGTCCTGGCTAACGAGATTGCTGATGTGTATCGTCATAGTCATAGTGGTTGTCGTCATATTGCCGCCGCCGTTGGTGTCTTGATGCAATGAGAGTTAGCAGAACCCTTGCCCATTCTGGGTAACAATACCACCAGTCAACCCATTAGACGATTATTCCTATACTCCCCCCTACACCTCACCAACTATGTCACCACTACTTCCCCATTACCAATAATGCCAATACCAGTATAGGAATAACCGATTACCTCATCCATTTAAGAGGAATATTCCTATACTCCCTACTACACCCCACCCAATATATCACCACTACTTCCCCATTACCAAGACCAGTATAGGAATAACCAATTACCCCATCCATATTCCCTAAGGTGGTATTATCCTCCCAAAGTGGGCAAGGGTTCTCTCATAGATTTTGCTAGGGTTTAGGGTTCAAGGGCAACAAAACTATCAGCCTTTGCATGTTGAGGCTTTGTCTGCTCGTACCTCGGTGTCTGCATTTGGCAGAGAAGACCCGCGCTCCGATGTCACATGTTCGCACAGAATCAACATGATGCCCCTGATGCAACCCAAGTTGACCCGTGTTTAAATTTAGCAATTCGGCGTGCCATGGCAGAAGCACCTGTCCGAAGCAGATCTCCAAAAGGTCATTCGTGCAAGGTCTGGTGGGCGAAGGTGCATGAAGGCAATCTCGTCATGGTAAGGTCAGACCAAGTGGAGATGCCAGCGAACGTATACAATCTTTTGAAGGCTGTGCGGGAGGAGGCAAAACGAGTGTTGAATGGACTGGATGTTGGCGACCTCCGATTATTCCTTTCCCATGGCGATTGGAGTGCAAGCCAGGCACATCTGGGCAACGCAACATCAGTGGATGAAATCACAGGTGGCACGCCAGACAAGCCACTGTTCGTGCACTATGAAAGGCAACAAGCACCAGAACAAGCAACTCATTCGAAGACATTCATTTTTCCCTGTGTTAGTTTTGGTTAACTTCCCGCTAATCCCCACCACTTAGTCCCTTTAGGTAGTCCACGCTAGGAGGTTTGGTCCTTGCTAGGATTTATTGCTTGGTTAGTCTGGTGGTTCGGGTGGTTTTGCGGTTTTTTGGCACAAATCAGGTTTTTGGCCTCAGTGATGTTGATACAGTGTTGGACATCCATCTGGGACGCGAGAGGCGAAACCTGCTTACCGTCTTCAAATGTTTCGAGAGTGGGCATGGTGTCAAGACGGCGGATACCCCAGCGAGTGTGAAAAGTGACTTACGAGGCCAGCCCTGCGCCATTTGTGGAGAAGAGAAGGGTGTTACAATTGCACACCTTCTGAAGACGAGTGAGCAGTGCGCCGAATTGGGCTTGCCATATGACCGGACGAATTTTCTTCCCCTGTGTGGAGCAGACGGAAGATGGCAGACTTGCCATCATAAGTTTGACAAGCACTTCCTTGCTCTAAAGCAAGCGCAGTCAGGGAATGTTATGGACTGGGTGGTTGTCGGTGGTGGCAAGGCTCCCAATGGCACGCAGTTGCATGGCAAGCGTATTCATGTGGCGCAGGGCTTGTCGCGACGAGTGTTGAAGGCCCATTTGGTCAAGGCGTTGCTGAACCAATCTTTGATTTTGGATGAACATTCCCAAGAAGAAGGACCTGGCAAAGACACGATAGAGAAACTGTCGGAGACTCCTCCGCGCGCGGCAAAGAGAAAGGCAGAAAGTGTTTCAGCTCAGTCGTCTGTATCAGCCGAGCCACAGCCAGTGCATCATCGTGAACAGGGGTCGACGTCTGCACCGATGCTGCAACCTGCCAATTCTTGCAGAGTGGTGCCTGCCCGCTTTCCTTTTCAACCACGTCTCACCTGACTCCTGAGATCTCAGTTGGAGGAATCTTGCCGACAAAATGCCAAGGCTATTTTGCAAATCATACAGATAAACTGATAGACCCAAAACTGTTGAGAACAAGTGCCAAATAACAGTGAACAAAGTTGAAGAAATACAGGTCTTTCAAGCCCTCTTGTACAGTATCTGGACAGTCATGTTGTTGACCATGGACACATTTGGCTCAAGACACAAAAAGGGTGAATTGCACGTTGTGT